AGAAAGGTCAATATAATTATTAAAAAATCTTTGTTTTTGAGAGAGCGCACATGCACACATAAATGGGGGAAGAGCAGAGGGCGGGGGGAACAGAGGATCAGAAGCCGGCTCTGCGCTGACAGCACAGAGCCCAATGCAGTGCTCAAACTCACAAACCATGAGATCATGACCTGAGCCAGACGCTTAACCGACTGAGCCACCCAGGCAACCCTATAACTAAATTTTTAATAGATTTGTACATGTATAAATATTTTATGAGGGCAGTGGAAAATACACAGGTCCATTAGCAATCAGCAGATACATAAATGACCTTATTATCAATTTTATTTCTTTCTCAAATTGCCTGCAGATGCTATTTACAGACTATGCAAAGTGATAAAATGACAGCTCTCTGTTTTTAAGAACCAAAGAGATTGTCCAGTTCAATGGTCTTTAAACTAGGTTCTCCGTTTATATGAAGTCTTCCAAAGGTTACTTGAGCCTCTGCAGTTTTAAGAGAATCAATTTCCAGATCCTCAACTTCCATAAAGTCTTGCCTAAAGTGATCTGCCTGAAAATTTCCAAATTACAAATTTTCAAGTTACCGATAGCTCACTTTACAGAAGACCTATTCCCTCTTAACCAGCCCTTAAGCTGAAGTACACTGTCCTAGGTATATCTGGAGGTGTAAAACCCTCCAGGTGACAAGAGAAGTCTTCTTCAGTGATTAATCAAAGTATTATAACAAAATTCCATACAGTGTATCTCCCAGTATTAAGCATGCTTCGAACAAGCTAACTGTGATGTTAGCTGTTAGTAATGCAGTATTTGGGTCCATGCTGGGATGCTGAGTTCAGATACATAATGGAGGGAGGTGGTTAGAAAAGTGGCAATTTTTGTTTAATTACTCTGACTCTTCCACTCCAAACTCCCCACAACCTCAACCTCTCCCTGCCAGTATTATCAAAGGATGCATTGCTATGGAGGGAAGAGTCCCTTGAAAGCAATACAACTAGAACATCACTAAGAAGCCTAAACTCACATTTGCTTATATCACATTTAAATTTTTTAATGTTTTATTTTATTTTTCAGAGAGAGAGAGAGAGAGAGAGAGAGAGAGCGAGCAGGCGAGCAGGGAAGGGGCAGAGAGAGAGAGGGAGATACAGAATCCGAAGCAGGCTCCAGGCTCTGAGCTGTCAGCATGGAGCCCGATGTGGGGCTCGAACCCACAAACTGTGAGATCATGAGCTAAGTCCAAGTTGGATGCTTAACTGACTGAGCTACTCAGGAACCCCTACATCACATATTTAAATATTAGCCATTCTTTTCAGTTCCTCATGAATCAGTCCTTAGTTTTTAGCACGTTAATATTAGCTAAAGCACAAGTTGCTGATACTGATTTAAACAACAAAAACATTCAGCTGCAATGATTTCTGAAATTGTTAACATTTTCAAGATAATAGAAGATACAACCAATAGATAAAACATCCAAGTGACTTCTTTCAGATTCAGTATATTACTCAATAAAGTAGTAAAAACCCAATGTAATAAACCATATCAATATCTATTCTAATCATGCCATTCCCCAACTGGTTCAATCTTTAAAGATATTTTTCTACTTACTATTAACATAAAATAGTGTACTAACTCCTCAGGCAATGTGCTTTTTAGCAGTACAGATATTTTTATTACTTTCAGAGACAAAGTTTGGACATGATTCATCTCATTAAGAAACATATTTCCAACAGAATTCTACTTTTTATGTTTTTGCCTCAGTTATATAGTTTAACTCAAGTAATCCACACTAGAATTCTACTTCTGCAAAAGAATTTTTAACAACACTGTAAGGTTCACTATTTTTCTCTGAATTGCCTTACCTGAATCCAACAGCAGAAATATCACAATACCACTATTTTAAAAGCCTTCTATTAGAAATGTGAAAACAATTCCTTATTTCTAGGACATGAACAAATGTTTAAAAGAAAAAAAGTCACACATTAACTGCATACATTTAATGAATAACATGTACTGATAGCACATTCCCCTTTCACATATAAAATTATCGGTGGCTTTAATTACACATCGTTTTCTTTTAAACAATTAAAAAGTCCCTAAGTTAGTAAGATGCATTTAAAACAGATTAGAATTTTATGAACAATATTTACTATGATGGAGCCTTATGTTTTTGTGCTAAATAAAGTTGTCGGATACAAATGTTGCTAAAAACAAGCAGATTAGAAGTCTTTTTCTTACTCACTAAACCTTATCTCAAATAGAATTTTGTATTTTAAATGTAAACAAATTGTTGAAATATTAACCAAATCAATTTTTAAAACAGCAGTAGTAAACTGTTTTACAAAGCATACATGACTAATCACCTGTATCAGAACCATCTAGGTCGCTTATTAAAAATATAAACTCTCTTGGGGCGCCTGGGTGGCTCAGTCGGTTAAGCGGCCAACTTCGGCTCAGGTCATGATCTTGCGGTCCGTGAGTTCAAGCCCCGCGTCGGGCTCTGTGCTGACCGCTCAGAGCCTGGAGCCTGTTTCAGATTCTGTGTCTCCCTCTCTCTGACCCTCCCCCGTTCATGCTCTGTCTCTCTCTGTCTCAAAAAAAATAAATAAATGTTAAAAAATATATATATATAAACTCTCAAGTCCATCCCACATCTACTGAATCAGAATCTCTTGCCAATTTTTAAACCTAGAAATTTACCTTTTTAACAAGGACATCCTTAAAACCAGAAAATACAGGAATTGATCAGTAAAGTTCCTCAAATATAAGCATGTTAATAGCCTAAAAAGAAATTCTACTTCAAAGGGTCTATGACCCCAACATCATTAGCAAAATATAGAAGGAAATAAACATGAAGTAAGATCTAAGATCAGTTGTAAAAGAGAACTGTTTGTGTCTGCCAGTGACTAATAATGCTTTGTTTGCTTTCTTCTGGAATTTAGGGCCACTGTGGAGACATAACTAAAAAAGAAAAAAGGAGCATTTTCTTTTCCATTTTAAGGAATGCTGACCACTATAAAACATAGTACTATACTGCCACTTTGCTAACTTGCCTTTTTCATTACTGATACAGATGATCCTTCAGGATCATCCTCTAATGGTAGACAACACCTGCTACAAATGTATACACAATGTTAAAATGGTTTTCATAATCCTTACGATGTTCATCAGTCCCAAATAAAGGAAAAATGGGGCACAGATACTGTTATCAAGAACTCCACCAGCTAACTCCCAGGCCTCCTCACACACCTCTTTCTCCCACCCCATCATAAACCACCACAGCTTGAGATACGGACTAGCTCAGCAGGGTGACACCACACACCCGGCAGTCACTCACACTACTCTAATAAGCAAGAGAAGAAATCCAGACTCAAGCTGATTTACTCCCTGGAAATACCGAATAGGAATGGAGAAGGTAACCAAGACTACATTTATCTAAATATCCCTTTTGTTTGGTCCTGTCCCTTGTTTCTACACAATGTTAGTGAAAACTCTGCTACCAAAATGGTTTATTTAAAAAGACAAAGGGTAGAAGCTCTATATTTAGTCTCCATAAAGAGACTATAGAATGTTTATCTTAAAAGTAAAATCAGTTAAGAGATCTTGGTAGTAACTGTTCCCTGCCCTTAAAAAAAGCGTATTTGCAGATACACGTGCCCCTACGTTTATAGCAGCATTATTTACAATAGCCAAGATATGGAAGCAGCTCAGGTGTGCATCCATAGATGAATGGATAAAGAAGATATGGTGTGTACACACACACACACACACACACACACACACACACACACAGGAATATTATTCAGCCATTAAAAAAAATAAAGAATGAGGGGCGCCTGGGTGGCGCAGTCGGTTAAGCGTCCGACTTCAGCCAGGTCACGATCTCGCGGTCCGTGAGTTCGAGCCCCGCGTCAGGCTCTGGGCTGATGGCTCGGAGCCTGGAGCCTGTTTCCGATTCTGTGTCTCCCTCTCTCTCTGCCCCTCCCCCGTTCATGCTCTGTCTCTCTCTATCCCAAAAAAATAAATAAACGTTGAAAAAAAATAAATAAATAAAGAATGAACTTTTGCCCTTTGCAACAACATGGATGGTGCTAGAGAGTATAATGCTAAGTGAAATAAGTCAGAAAAAGACAAATACCATAGGATTTCACTTACATGTGGAATTTAAGAAACAAAACAAAAAAGGGGCACCTGGTGGCTCAGTCAGTTAACCGTCCAACTTCAGCTCAGGTCATGACCTCACAATTCATGAGTTTGAGCCCCACATCAGGTTCTGTGCTGACAGCATGGAACCTGGAGCTTGCTTTGGATTCTATGTCTCTCTCTCTCTCTCTCTCTCTGCCCTTCCCCTGCCCCCTGGAAAACAGATAACGTTAAAAAAAAATAAAATAAAACCAAACAAATGAGCAAAGAGAAAAAGAGAGAGAGATTGAGAGAGGGAGAGACAAACCAAGAAACAAACTCTTAACTGCAGAGAACAAACTGAGGGTTACCAGAGGCGGGGGGGGGGGGGGTGAGTGGAGGGATGGGTTAAATAGGTGATGGGGATCAAGGAGAATACTTGTCGTGATGAGCACTGGGTGATGTAGGGAATTGTGAATCACTATATTGTACACCTGACATGAATATAACACTGCATGTTAGCAGACTGGAATTAAGACAAACTCTTAAAAAATGTATTTGCAGAAGGAGCCATTTGATTTCTAATTGAGGTTCTATTAAACATGTGGTATATGGATTATAAGTACAATGGCAAATGACCAAAAGAGAATGCATGGCTCTTTCACTTAAGGAGCAAGGTAATAAAATACTTCCTGTGAAAATTAAGTAGTAAAATACAAAACTGCCAAAACAAAGTTTAACAACAATAAATTTCTGCTATTGTGCATAAAGACCATTAATCCCGATTTTCTAATGAGTAGCCAAGAACTTGATGAAAATGAAAACAATATGATTATTTACTTACATAAATGATACCTTTTCTGGAGGAAACAAGGTACACTTACTTGGTAAGCTGCCCTTTATTCTTGTTATTATCAACTCCATTATAAGTCACAGCTGCCAGTTTTCTGCTTCGGTAGTTCTCATAGTGTACGTTATTAGTGACATCTTTCAAGTCCTGCATGTGTGTTCTGTCATAAATAAACAACATATCAACAGTTTGCTTCTATGAAGAAAGCCTTGATATACATTCAAAATTTTCCAAAACAAAAATTTCTAGACCTAAAATAAGCAAAAAGACTATTCTTAAGGAAGAACATTCACCCATCTTCATTTACACTCAAGGCAGAGCAAGATACAATATGCTAAACCTGAAACCAATGGAAATTTAGGTTCCAAATGAAAGTTTAAGAGTTCTAAATCTCCTCAAAGTATGACATTTCTACAGAAGAATATTTACCCTTATAGTATATGTCTTATTTTATTAGAGGAAGATTAGCTCCTGCCAAAGCTCATAAAACATAAGAGAAATTGGTTTTCTTTTAGCAATATTATTAAGATTTGAGCTTTTACCGAGGTAATATATATGGATACTTTAGGTCACATATCAAGTTGGATTTAAACCAAGGAAAATAATTTAGAGCATATTCCTATTTCTTCAAACTGTTCAGTGAATGTGATATTTTGGTTAAATGAATTTTGCTCATAGCATTTCTATTATACATAAAATCAATACACATATGAGATGAATTATACAATACAGGAGACAGTTTCATCATTCCTTAATGATTTTAGACACTACAGACACTCTGAGCTGCTCTATGGTTCCCTTTACCTGACCTGGTGTAGCAATACTCTGATTCATCAGAGTCTCCCTTTTCTCATCATCCATTCCTATCTCTGCCATACTCCATCTTTCATGCCCACCACTTTGCCAAATCTCCTTTCCGGGAAACAAACATAAAGGTGCACCGTATTTTTATTTCTCCTGCTATCCAGAAAACATGTACTTTCCCTTTATGAACGGAAGGTGATTTTCAATTACCCCGACTCATCTTCTACTAATGGACATTTCCATGCAATCTCTGATAGTTTAATTCATCCTAAGGGGTACTTCTCGGTTTTCCTCAATTCTCATTTTCTTTATGCTCTTTTCCTTGTTGAATTTATCCTCTTCATGGCCACTACCCCTTTCCATGTCAGTCAAGTCAGGTAGCTGTTTATTCCTAGAATATCCAGCGGTTGAGATGGAATAGCTCATGCTAATTTGTCACGGACTCTTCAAACTTAAGAATCCTACTGCTTTGAAAGCTCTTCCCAGCCTTGAAGTTGAGTGACTCTAACCCCTAACAATTTTCTCCTTGGTGGTCAGTCATTTTTTGGTACCAGTATATGTTATGGATAACACCACACAACCTTTTCAACTTTACTATAAGCTGCCCTTTGTAAGAAATATTTTTGCCATCACTTCTTGTACTCTTGAGACAAATAGCATATAACAGGCGGTTTTAAAAAATTGGTAACTAAGTATTAAAGCTTAGGTAAGATAAATACTGTTGATTTTCTGGAACAAATTACTGTTACCAGTTTCTCTGAGTAGAGAATAATAAAAACAAATAACTGTACCAATATAAAAATACTTGTTGTATTTTAAATATAGATTACCTCATTATGGAATCACTGAAAAATCACCACAGGACCTGAGGTGGAGCACTTAATAGTTGAAATACAAGATGTGTAAAATAAAAATAAGGTGAATTTATTAACTGTTTAAGCAAGCTATTTCTGTTAATGTCATCTAACATTTTAGATAATGAAAGATTTTTCCCTTTCCCTAAAATAACCTTCTTTATCATACCTAGTTCAGATTTTTTTCAGGACATAATGGTCTCTGTTTCCACCTATTTAAATATGCTTCACTTTATTTTTATCTTTTTTGAGAGAGAGAGAGAGAGAGAGAGAGAGAGAGAGAATGAGAATCTTAAGCAGACTCCATGAGCCATCCCATGTCCCTGGGATCATGACTTGAGCTGAAATCGAGAGTTGGACACTCAACTGACTAAGTCACCTAGGTGCTCCCACTTTACTTTTTATGATTCAACTCATTCCTCCATTCTTCAAATCAATAATTAGCAATAAGTTTTCTCCAGTTTCAGGAACTTAATCATCTTTTCCATTTCTCACTGCTGGTATCATGGCCTTCTTTTCTCTCCTTTTGTTTTCTTTCTCTATTTAATTTCTGCACTGTCCTTCACCACACTCTGAAAATATCCATTATCAAGTTTGTCTCCTTTCCATTGCCTTCTTTGGTTTGCCTACAACAACCGCCAGTTCTCTTAATTAGCAAAATGACACTTCTTTGAACCTGGGTCTTTCTTAGAAGCAACGACTATTCCTAACTTTAACCTGCAAGATTGCAATTACTTGGAATTTACAGACCTCTGGAATACTGGTGGTGATGAGATTTCCTTGCTTTAAGTACCCATTAAATATCTACTAGGTGCCTTACAAGACATGAGCTACATTAAATAAAAATCTTTCTCACCTCTACTACAAACCTACAAGAAAAATTAATAAAATATTCTTAAGCGTCTCATTTTCAAACTATAATACTCTCCTTTTCAAGGATGTTTTACACATTTAAATGTAAAAACTGCAAATGAAAAATTGTGATAAAAAGTAAAGTAAAGCCATCTAGCATAAGTAAACATTTATGCTTTAGGAAGAAAAACAAATGTGCTGCAGCATATTGAAGAAATAAATGAGCTTCTCATTAAGTAAAATCACCTAACCATCTACCTCAAGGAGCTGAAATCAACATCTTCGCCACACTCAATGATAAAAATATTAAACAGGACCACTCCCAATCTTACAAATAAGCATCAGTGAATGACTATATTTATTCTAATCGATGTTAAGACATCTATTTCTATGAATCCTTTTGTATCTGACCCACTCCATGAAATATACACTTACTCTAAATTCTTTTAATCCATCTAAGTAATCATTTTACAACACATACCTGCTTTATATTATGTAACTTCAGAATTTTTTATATTTTCATACTTGTATGACTGTCTTGCAGCTTTCCTATGCTCAATCTTCCTACAGGAATGGTCCGTTTGTTCTGCAATACTTTTATCCTAGTGAGTCCCACTCACCAGCTGCCAGGCTATGTACCTTCAAATGTTCAAAGTCTGGCTTCCAGCTCAGTAACTAGCCTTCCCCTCTACAGTATTTTAGTTTTGCAGTCAATTATTGATTGCATATTTAAAAATACACAAGATGGGCTCCTGGATGGCTCAGTTGGTTAAGCATCCGACTTCGGCTCAGGTCATGACCTCACAGTTTGTGGGTTCGAATCCCACATCGGGCTCTGTGCTGACAGCTCAGAGCCTGGAGCCTGCTTCAGATTCCGTTCTCCCTCTCTCTCTCTGCCTCTCCCCCGCTCATGATCTGTCTCTCAAAAATAAATAAACATTTAAAAAAAAATACACAAGACCGGAGCACCTGAGTGGCTCAGTCGGTTAAGCATCCAACCTCGGCTCTGGTCATGATCTTACGGTTCGTGAGATCAAGCCCGGCCCTGGGCTCTGTGCTGACAGCTCGGAGCCCAGAGCCTGCTTCAGATTCTGTGTCTCCCTCTCTTTCTGCCCCTCCCCTGCTCTCACTCTGTCTCTCTCTCTCTCTCTCAAAAATAAATAAATATCAAAAGAATTTTTAAAAATAATAAGATAAATAAAAATAAAAATACACAAGACAAAGTTATAGAATACCACTGTGTCAAGCACGGGGCAAGCTGCAGAGATTTAAAATTGGGGGAAAGAATAAGATCAGAGAGAATGGACTGGCAATTAATATTTATAAAATTTCCTGGGGTGTTTGGAGGCTCAGTTGGTTAAGAGACTGACTCTTGATGATTTTGGCCCAGGTCATGTCACACAGTTCGTGAGATCAAGCCCCACAGCGGGATCCACACTGACAGCATGGAGCCTGCTTAGAATCCTCTCTCCCTCTCTCTCTGCCCCTCCCCTGCTCATGTATGCTTGCATGTGCTCTCTCTCAAAATAAATAAATAAACTTAAAAAAAATTCCCTACATATATACTGTCATAAGCAATTATATTATTAATTCTTTTGAAGTCACACCTTAAGAAAGGAAGAGAAAGGAAATAGTTCATGATAGAAACTGAAACGGTATATTCTCAAAAGTGAGACAGATGGGCCCCCTCTCACATGCCTCTGTTCTTCTCCCACTGTGTGAGGCCTGGCAACCCCAACAACTGAATCACCCCTATCCTCCACTTCCTACCTAAAGCACCTGGTCATAAGCTCCTTTAAGAAAGACTAACTACATAGCAATCTCTTTGATCTCCAAATTCACTGTGATATTTAGTATACTTCTGGAGGTAGCAGTCTGACTCACTTAAACTTCCCTCCTGACTTGTAAGAATAACTTTACTGTTCCATGACTTCCAATGACCAACAATATGCAAGTTAATACTTCTAAATAGATAAGGATACTCCTGTGCATTAGGAAACTGCATGATAGTATGAAAATAAATAAACCTCAACTTTAGATGGCCATCCAAAACTGGAGGCTGAAAAGAGTATGTGGTGAGGGCCTGGAGAAGTAAGCACGATGGGGGTGCAGAGAAGTGGGGAAAGGGTGTGAGGTGGCAAGAGGAAAGAATTGATCTCAACATGAAAACACTGAGGTTTCTTTTGATGCCCTTTCTGTTTCTTGCCCACTAATGTCTCTGCTTCTATTCAACTTTTTCTTCATGGTTTCAAGTCCCAGTCTTTTTTTTTTTTTTTTTTTAATTTTTTTTTAACGTTTATTTATTTTTGAGACAGAGAGAGACAGAGCGTGAACAGGGGAGGGTCAGAGAGAGGGAGACATAGAATCCGAAACAGGCTCCAGGCTCTGAGCTGTCAGCACAGAGCCCGACGCGGGGCTCGAACTCACGGACCGCGAGATCGTGACCTGAGCCGAAGTCGGCCGCTTAACCGACTGAGCCACCCAGGCGCCCCATCAAGTCCCAGTCTTCTAATCAGGATTAGTTCAATGTCCTGCTCTCATAGGCTTTCCTTCTCTTTCATCAGCTGCACAAGGTACAATTTAGGAGTACTGTTTTCTCGCCTGGGAGGAAGATCAGTTCTGTTCACTGTGTCCTAGTACCAAAAACACCCCACTCACCAGGCTGGATACCGTTTAACATTCAAAATCTAGTTTTTAACTCAAAGCCTAGCCTTCCCTTCCAGGTATCCCAAGCTTTTCACATAAAAGAGCAAAAGCCTTTTCCTTTCCATCTTCCATCTCAACAAGAAGTATAACAAAAAAAGAGACTCATTTTCCCACATATTGCTAGTGACACAGCTTATTTTGTATTTTTGCCAACAGCTTTAAAACCTGGCAAAATAATCCAAGTTGTCTCCAAGCAGTGCTTACTTGAGTGCTAGAATGAAGATACCAATTTAAGTTAGCTATATTTTAAAAAACCAAAATAAAATAGGGGTGCCTGGGTGGCTCAGTCGGTTAAGCGTCCAACTTCGGCTCAGGTCATGATCTGGCAGTTCACAAGTTTGAACCCCGTGTCAGCTCTGTGCTGACAGCTCAGACCCTGAAGCCTGCTTCAGATTCTGTATCTCCTTCTCTCTCTACCCTTCCCCCAGTTGCATGCCATCTCTCTCTCCAAAATAAATAAAAAACATTTAAAAAAAATAATAAACAAATCAGCTATACCTATAGAAGACAAAAATAAATCTATATTTTGAGAAAGAAAAAAACTTACATAATTTAATCATTGCTCAAACTTACCTTATCAACATATTTCTTAGAATTGTAAAATCACAATGTTCACCATTTTCAACTATATAAAAAAAAAGAAACAACACACTAAGCCCAGTATTTTCAAAGGAAATTTCACAAAATGCTGGAGGTAACAATGAGAGAATATGCAACATTTCATTAATTTTTCAATACTTTTCTTTAGATCAATTTTTCATTCAAGTTTTAACACTATAACATAGTACTTAATTTAAGGGCATGCCAGACAAGTGTAGTCTAATAGTATTTAGTGTAGTTTAATCTTAAATGATAAAATATACAAACCTAGTAAATGAGCTCTACAGAAAAAAAAATTTTGAAATTTTGAAAGGGGACATCATGTATTCATTTGTAAACAGAATATATTTGTTCTATAATAAAATGTGTTTTAAAAGTTTAGTATTAGGGTGAGGGGGAATGACTTTAGTAGCCAAAATAAAAATGTGAGTCAATAACTTTAAGGTTCTTTATTTTAAAGAACTGTATCACTAATAATAACATTCTGGTGGTAAAGGGGGGGACTAAAACTAGAGAAATAAATTCTTTAGCACACATTTCTAAGGACTGTATAAGTTCTAAAGCCTCAGCTCAGCAACTGAAAGTTACCTGAGGATGACACAGAGGTGGGAACAAGTATAGCCTCACTGATAGGGAAAGCTGCTGATAAGGACAATAACTTAGAACAAGAACCAAAAAATTACAGAATTTTTCAAACTAATACTAACAAGTATAAAAATAATCATGACTCAATCTTAGTTCCAAGTTACTATAACACAGAAGACTAGATATTAGGTTAAACCAATATAACAAACACAAATCTGGGGAAACATGTCTATTGCCAAGAAGACTTCTGAAATTTGATGCTATAAACTAAGATTTTGTTGGTATTTAAAACTCTCTGCAAAATTAGTAGAGTATCTCTTAACAAATAATTTTTTTTTGTCCTAAAAATGTGATGCCCAAAAAAAGTTGATTTTTACCCCGAGAAGGAATATTATGAATGTTTTCATTCAGTTTAAAGTGAAAAATTGTTCTCAATCATTCCTGAAGGTCCCAGACCCATCTGAGACTCAGATAAAAGTGAGTCCTTTTCTCTGAAACTGTTTTCAAACAGTAAAGAATTCTTACACTTTAAGTATGTTTTCAAACAAGAAAACAGGAGTAGAGTTAATGATGGGATGGAGGTGGGAGAGTGGGGCACTGATGAGTGACTTGGAGAATATCACAATTAGGATTCAGCGCATGCTTGCCTGACCTGACAATGTACAAAGTCTGAGAAACTAGAATGTACTTATGAGCAAATGAGGCTAAATGAAACTGAATTCAGAACTATCTTTGAAAATCTAGAATATATCAATGTGAAATACAAATATTTGATAACACTGTTAAATCTTATAGAAAGTCATTCATTGAAGAAAACCTTACCTTCAGCAACACCCCAAGGATACTGCCTTCCTCTGACCCTTTTGCCATTAACTTCAATGATAGTATTACTACCTACCACAGCAAGAGGTAAACGGTCCTATAAAACAAAGTATTCTTGTTCAAATGTATCTCTGTAGTCCTCACAAATTTAAGAATAAAGAAGTTTATATTATTCAACACATTACCAAAAAAAAAAAATTACCTTGACAGTTTCTGTATTCACTTTTATAAGGCATTCGATTACTATTCAGTAAACTGTCATTACATGGATTCTCACCAATATAAACAATGAATAAAATTATATTTTCTCTGAAAATTTAAAAATCCTAAGGCATACATACTCCACTCATCAAATTATGTTAAAAAGTCATCCCCCAAAGAAGCTGTCCCATACTGAAAAAAATTCAAAGGAAATAAAAATGTATTAGCAGTTAGAGGGAAAACATGAGGCTTGTAACTAGCATGCTCATCTACCACAAACCAACTCTAACAGCCCTGGAAGCACGGAATATTATACATGCTAAATTCTACCTTTGAAAGTCCAGATCTGGGGTTCTGGATTTGTATTTATCCACACTTAACTCAGAGTACAATCTTTCAAAATTCTTGTACCTTCCAAAAATATTTAACAATATATAAAATATATGACTACTTTATAAAACCTCAGAAACTCTTCATTGGTCAGGTACATGTATTTCATTATTCCAAGGTAATTATTTGCTTATATAATGCCATTAATTAATACATCACTTTTAGGTCTAGACTAGTACTTAGGAAATGACTATAAATTAAAAATACAGGGGCACCTGAGTGGCCCAGTCAGGTAAGCATCTGACTTCAGTTCAGGTCATGATCTCACGATTTGTGAGTTCAAGCCCCACATTGGACTTGGTGCTGATAGGTCAGAGCCTGGAGCCTGCTTCAGATTCTGTGCTTCCCTCTTCTCTCTGCCCCTCCTCTGCTCAAGCTCTTTCTCTCTCAAAAATAAATAAATAGGGGCGCCTGGGTGGCGCAGTCGGTTAAGCGTCCGACTTCAGCCAGGTCACGATCTCACGGTCCGTGAGTTCGAGCCCCACGTCAGGCTCTGGGCTGATGGCTCGGAGCCTGGAGCCTGTTTCCGATTCTGTGTCTCCCTCTCTCTCTGCCCCTCCCCTGTTCATGCTCTGTCTCTCTCTGTCCCAAAAATAAATAAAAACGTTGAAAAAAAGAAGAAAAAAAAATGAAAATAAATAAATAGACATTTAAAAATAAATAAATAAAAATACAGAAAATTATGTTGGTATAGGTTTTGGTTGTTTTTTATAAAAGACAAAAAAAAAACCCATATTTTTGTCTGGCTCTTAAACAAAGACTATACAAAAACAGTGCTTAGGAACAAGTCCTCTCCATTCTCATTACATATTTTTTAAGGAGGAAAGTTATACAATATAAAACCAGTCAACTGAAAACTGAAGACAGATTATAAAACAGAGATTATGCTATTCATCTCTCTATTCAACAAAGTTAGTTAATTGCAAAGTTGAATTCAAGACTGAATAATCTCCCTATTCATTTTGTAAGCCAGCTACTTAAGAACACTGATTTTTTTTTATCTTTTCAGTGAATATTTCAGTGGCTTTAAGGCCTGAAACATTTTAGTATATGTATGTGAATAAACCTACCTTTATCTTTTTAACAAGCTTATTTTCTTCTTCATCATCTGTTTCTGGAAATTCATATATTTTAATTTTATGTTCTTGGATTTCTTTCATTATCTAAAATGAGCAAAAGAACACCACACATAATTAGTACATTAGCTTTATTTGTATTATATTCTTTTAAAATTCCTGATTCTTCAGCTCTAATTCCTTTACTATTTTTCAATGATGCAAAACTATAATCTAAAATCAAAGTACTATACTGATCTTTTTAAAAAAACTATTAAGTTCATATATAAACACCATTCTCCAAAATCCAATTACTTAATAAGTTAATGGTTATAATACCAAAAGAGATCTAAAAATGATTTAAGATTCCAGAAAGGGCTTTCTCTAGTTGATTTCTATATAATGGTTTTACATCATTTACTCACAATGACTGAGATTCTTTCTCTAAATAGAACTCTCACCAACTATTTTATTCAGATGAATCAACATAACTTAAACTCACCTAAAATTTTAGTAAAATTAGTAAGTGAAACTAAGTACAGCACTGGCTCCAGGAGAAAAAATTTGCACACTGATCAGAAAATATCCTCACATGTACATTTGTGTACACAAAATCAAGGAGCAACAGATATAAAATGAAGAAGTACACAAGGAGAAAACATGCCCCACAAGCTAAGAAGCCAGCAAGTTAATAAAGAGAATGCAAAGACAACTTATTAACATCAGAAATGACCTACTTCAAACTAAATTATCTTTTCCCACATCACTCCAAATTTTAAACAAATCACAGATAACCAAATAATGTTCAACTACCTACCCTATTCAAACTCATAATAAACTGATGGTCAATATACCTAGAACTAGGTCCTTGCCTTTACTGGTATTTCAGCACTACTATCACTTGTAGGGATCCCCAGCAGCATAAAGGCACTCTAAACAAAATGTGTTACATGGTTACTAAAGTAGGTAGAGGCAAAATGCCACAGAGAAAAACATGAGAATAAATGAAGTGTCAAATACATGGCTAGGAGAAAAAACGAAATACTAGGGGCCAGCTCTAAGAGCAGTGGTTCTTGGGGTGCCTGGGTGGCTCAGTCAGTTAAATGACCGACTCTTGATTTCAGCTCAGGTCATTATCTCACAGTTGTAAGATCTGTGTTAGGTGCAGAGTCTACTTAAGAGTCTCACTCATAGTCTCTTTCTCTCTCCCCCTGTCCCTCCCCTGCTTGCTTGTTCTCTCTTTCTCTCTCTCAAAAAAAGCAGTGGTTACATATTAAAGATCCCAAATCTCCACCTTAATTTACAAAAATAATTGGTAAAGATACAGTCCAATAACTCATTCTTTTTTTTACATTTTTAAATGTTTATTAATTTTTGAGAGAGAGAAACAGAGCATGAAAGGGGGATGAGCAGAGAGAGAAGGAGACACAGAATCTGAAGCAGGATCCAGGCTTTGAGCTGTCAGCACAGAGCCCAACTTGGGGCCTGAACCCACAAACCGTGAGATCATGACCTGAGCTGAAGTCCAGACACTTAACTGACTGAGCCACTCAGGTGCCACTCCAATAACTCACTCTAAAAAAGTTCTCCATAAACTCCAAGAGAGTGCGTGGTCCCACAACCATTTTCTGGGATAATCTGACACCAGCCACAGAATGGCAAGACCCTCCCCAAGAGGATCTGTGCAGGTCGATGCCAGGCAAATCTCTAGGATTTGAATTTTGAAACCAAGCCTTGCACCTGAGATAAAACACAGGAGTGCTGTGCTGCCTAGCAGGCAGGTGGCTTAGACTCAAAACAGGATGAAGGCAGGGATCTGACAGAAGCTGGGGAAACAGTAAGGATGACCGTTTGCTCTTCTGTGAGGGCTTCCTGAGGAGTGGCAGGTGCGAGATTCCCAGCCCTAGGGACGGAGAGTGGGGCAACACCATTCTCCACCACACCCCCCCATCAACACTGACCAACTTCATTGAGAAAAACAGCCGCTTACACCAAACCCAGTTCCCCTGTGCCCTGGATGGCAACTCTACCATGGCAAATCCACCTGAGAGTCAATGCAGCAGGCCGCTCCCCCAAAAGACCAGCACAAACCCCATGCATGCACCAAATCTACTGATCATAGAATACTGCAAAGCTTCAGCTCTAGGGTAAATAGGATATAGTTTCCTTTTTTGGTGGGGGATCTTTTCATAATACAGCCATTACTCTCAGACCAGGAATACAACAGGCTTTCCTAACAACCACACAAAAAGAAACAGTGACCTAGACAAAATGACAAGATGGAGGAACTCACCCCAAAAGAAAGAGGAAAAAGTCCCAGCCAGAGACTCAATCAGTAAAGATACAAGTAAGATGACTGAACCAGAATTTAAAACAATAATCATAAGTATACTGGCTGGACTTGAGAAAAGCATAGAAGATACTAGAGAATCCCTTACTACACAGATAAAAGAACTAAAAACTAGTCAGGCTAAAATAAAAAATGCTATAACTGAGATGCAAAACTAAATGGATGCAATTGACAAGGATGGACGAAAAGGGAGAACAAATCCGTGATATGTAAGATAAAATTATAGAAAATAATGAAGCTGAAAAGGGAAAGGTATTAAATCATGAAGGCAGACTTAGGGAACTCAGTGACTCCTTACAGTGCAATATTATTAACATCACAGAAGTCCCAGAAGAAGAGAAAGAAAAGGGGGCATAAGGTTTATTTGAGCAAATTATAGCTGAAAACTTCCCTAATCTGGGAAAGGACAAAGACATCAAAACCCAAGAAACACAGAGAACTCCCATTAAATTCAACAAAAGATGTGTCATAGTCATCAAGATGTGTCATAGTCAAATTAACAAAATACACAAAGAATCCTGAAGGCAGCAAGGGGGGAAAAAAGTGCTTATCCTACAAGGGAAGACAGATCAAGTTCACAGCAGATCTGTCCACAGGAACTTGGCAAGCTAGAAGGAAATGGCATGATATATTCAACGGGCTGAATGGGAAAAATATGCAACCAAGAATACTTTATCCAGCAAGGCTGTCATTCATAATAGAAGGAGAGATAAAGAGTTTCCCAGACAAAAACTAAAGCAGTTTATGACCACTAAACCAGCCCTGCAGGAAATATTAAAGAGGACTCTTTGGGGGGGGGGGCCCCGGGGGGGGGGAGACCAAAAGCAACAATGGCTAGAAAAGAATAGAGAACATCACCAGAAACACCAACTTTATAGGTAACACAATGGCACTACTTTCAGATCTATCAATAATCACTCTGAATGTAAATGGACCACATGATTCAATCAAAAGACATCCGGTATCAGAATTGATTAAAAAAACAAAAACAAACACAAGACCCATCTATATGCTGCCTACAAGAGACTCCTTCTAGACTTAAAGACACCTGCAGAAGGAAAGTGAAGGGATGAAGAACCATCTATCACGCTGATGCCAAAAGAAAGCCAGAATAGGCATACTTTATAACAGGTAAACTATATTTTAAACTAAAGACTGTAACAAGAGATGAGGAAGGGCATTATATCATAATTAAGGGGTCTATCCATCAAGAAGATCTAACAATTATAAATATGCATGTCCCCAACTTGGAAGCACCCAAACATATAAATCAATTAATAACAAATGTAAAGGAACTCATTGATAATAACAACAGTAGGGGACTTGACCACCCCACTTACAACAATGGACAGATCATCTAAGCAGAAAACCAACAAGGAAACAATGGCTTTGAATGACACACTGAACTGATGGACTTAACAGATATATTCAGAACATTTCATCCTAAAGCAGTAGATTATACATTCTTTTTGAGTACACATGGAACTTTCTCTAGAACCGATCACATACTAAGTCACAAATCAGCCCTCGACAAGTACAAAAAGACTGAGATCATACCATCCGTGGTTTTAGACCACAATGCTATAGAACTTAAAGTTACCCACCGCCAAAAAAAAAAAAAAAAAAAAAAAAAAAAAATTTTGGAAAGACCACAAATACACAGAGGTTAGAGAACATCCTACTAAAGAACAAATGGGTTAACCAGGAAACTAAAGAAGAAATTTTAAAAAAATACATGGAAGCAAAAGAAAATGAAAACCCAATAGTACAAATCCTTTGGGATGCAGCAAGGGCGGTCCTAAGAGGGAAGTATATTGTAATCCAGGTCTACCTCAAAAAAACAAGAAAAGCCTCAAATACACAACATAATCTTACATCTAAAGGAGCCAGAAATGGAACAGCAAATAAAGTCTAAAGCCAGCAGAAGAAAGGAAATAATAAAGATCAGAGCAGAAATAAATGACAGAGAAACAAACAAACAAACTGAAAACAATAGAACAGATCAATAAAACTAAGAGTTGTTTCTTTGAAAGAATTAGTAAAATTGATAAAACCCTAGCCAGACTTATCAAAAAGAGAAAAAAACCCAAATAAATAAAATCACAAATAAAAGAGGAGAGATCAAACCAACAATTAGTATTTGAACTTAGAAAAAAGCACATTAAAAAATAAAAATGGTAGTGAATAAATGTAAAGTAAATAAACATATACTTCTAGTAGAAACACCAAATATAATAAAAATGAACTAAAACATTCCCAGAGTGTACAGATTTAGCACAACTTCAAAGCAAATCTCAACAGATTTTTGTTTTTGTAGCAGGTTGCAAGGTATTCTAAAATTCATATAGAAAAAAGTGAAAAAACAAAGGGGACTTTAAAGAAAGAGATAATAACTCTATGACCTATTTTTTAAGTATTATACACAGTAGCTGCAGTTTAAAAAATATAGCTTGGCTTAAAATAAAAAATAGGCTACTGGTATAGGAGCACAGTTCCAGAAATTCACCCTATATTTCATAAAATGTTATAATAAACCAAACACACTAAGGAAAAAGTAAACCCCTGCTTTACACAGTGTTCATCCCTTCTGGAAAATTAAATTAAAGTTAAAGAAATGATTAAGTGCCACTTAATTCCAAAAAAGCTTTAAAAACAACAACATTGGTAAGGCATTGAAACAAATATACCTATTATGAAAAAAAAATCTGTTTTATTGGGGGGAAAGCACCATGACAAAATGGGGGAAAAAAAGAACTATAAAGTAATCATACCCTTCCAAAAAGTAATCCTCTTCCTGGAAATTTAGTCTAAAAAAATAATCCTAAAGGGTGTGGAGCAGAGTGGTGGAGGAGGCTGGAACAGAAACACCTAAAATATTTAAGTCGACAAAGGATAAGGGCACTGTGATAATGGATAATAGCTTTGAGGAGAAAACTAAGGCAAGAAATTTTAAATAGTTACTTTTAATACAGTATAAATAAATATATAATAAAGTAGCAAGACGAATACATTGTAACACATTATACTGAAAATACAAAAACTGCAAATTACATGAATGGTATGAGAAATTCAAGAGTTCAAGCTTCTTTTGCTCACCTGTTTTTTAAACTGTTGGCACTCCTCTGGAGTGAGTGTGTCTGCTTTGGCAATAAGTGGAATGATGTTCACTTTTTCATGCAAACGCTTCATAAACTCAATGTCCAATGGTTTAAGTCTGAAAGACACAATATTTAATATGACTGAATTATCAATTTGTGAGAAGAGATCATTCACATCCCCAGTGCTAAATTAAATACACTGGAACGACTTTACTTATCAGAAACACTCTCTGATGATGTACTGGGCCAGCAACAGTTAGGCCAGGTAGAACAGGACCTCACTAAGCACTGAAGTGGTTAAGAAGGCTTTGACTCCTGCCCTTGAATACGATGGTCATAGGGTTTGGGCTCTACAGAGGAATTAGGAAAACCAGAAATGCTCCTAACAGGTTTTCCTAAAATAGGAAATACAATAAAATACAATAAAAAGTATTTTCCTTTTTGAGTCCCATATTCCATTCTTGCTTCCAACTTTATTTCTCAGATAAAAGGCTCAAAAGGGAATCATCTTCATCATCCCTTTTTACCCACTGCAATCTGGCTGCTGCCTCCACTTGGCTGTTATACTTCCAAGAAGGTCACGAAATAGGGCACCTGGGTGGCTCAGTCGGTTAAGCATCTGACTTCAGCCCAGGTCTGATCTCACCATTCCTGAGTTCGAGTCCCCCAATGGGCTCTGTGCTGACAGCTCAGAGCCTGGAGCCTGCGGCAGATTCTGTGTTTCCTGCTCTGACCCTCCCCTACTCACACTCTGTCTCTCTCTCTCAAAAATGAATAAACATTTAAAAACTAATAAAAAAAAGGGGGGGTCATGAAATACTTTCATGCTGCTAATATAATTAGCATCAATAACTCCTAAATATTGTGGTGTTTACTATTATTTTTTAAATTTACCCATTATGCAGCATTTGACATTACCCTCTCACAAGCTACTCCCTAAGGGTACTTTTAAGGATCTTCTCTGTAAGCTAGTCTCTTAAGTGTTGTATTCCTCAGAATACTCTACTAGGTCCTCTTCTCTCTTTACATTCTGTATGCTTATCATCAACCACAGTGACTTCTAACATCTTCTATAGATCTCAAATCTTCACACCCAGCCCCGATCTCACTTGTATGATCCAGTTTGTATTTACCCAGTGGAAATACCACCTGGACACCCCATTGAGGCTCCTCGAAATCAAAAGCTCATCTGAACCCCCAAATTTTCTCTCCTCTTCTGTGCAATTTTTGAGAATGGTACTACAATCCATCCAATTACTCCTGGCTGAAATCCAGGATTCCTCCCTCCTCTAATTCTCACTCCCAAAGATTCCACAAGATCTGCTGAACAAATAAATATATAACTTTGGGTCAGGCCATGAAGACCTTTGGTATGGGCTACTATTAGAATACATCCGGTTTCCCTCCAAACCATGCACACTACAGTCAGAAAGGTCTTTCTAAACTCCAAATCTGAATGAGTCATTTCTCTGACTGAAAACCTTACTAAAGGCCAGATTCCTTGGCTAGCATGGCCTACAAGGCCTGTGAAGACATAGCCTCTCAGGCTGTTCTCATCGCTTAGCATCTGGTAGCATCTTTTGCCACCTCCTGCTTGTAATTCTCCTTTTTGAACTACCCATGATTTCTTGAAAGAACCATACTTTGATCACTGGTCATTGGCTACTGCCTCTGACTGAAACACTCTCCATTCCCATCCCCTTTCTACTTGGCTTGCCTAATCCCTATTCCTATAGGTCCTTTAGGACTTGGCTTACAATTCTCATATCCTCTGGGAATCCATCTCCAACCTAACACCTAGTCATCTTCTAAGTGATCACAACACTTAATTTGCCAATTATGTATATTTGTTTTCCCCATCTTCTCATTAGAAGATCCTTAAGAGCAAGACCTTTGTCTCATTCATCTGTATCTCCAACACCCAGTACAGTGTCACTTGAGAAGCTGTCCAAATATCTGTTGATCAAAAAAGTAAGTTCCTGTGATTTTCTTTATGTTTTCAAATAACTCTAAATGAAAACCCAAGAAATTCCTCACATCTAGACTACAGATTAAAAATTAATATTCCATAAAAATAAATGAAGATGATGGGAGTATTCTGCTTAGAAATATCATTCTAAATTGGTATTCCTTAACCTATAAACCATGACAAAAATTGAATAAAGATCTAGTTTCATTATGAATTTTACTAACATTATAAAGAGAAAGTCCTTGTTAGAGTTCTCTTAGAGTACTATAGTTACATGTAGGTCACGTGTGTGTGTGTGTGCGTGTGTTTATAAATATATAAAGTTGGGAGGAACAGGGGCCCAGAGACTAAAGAGGTATTCCTTTTTACTAACAAGTAATAAACGATACTATACCTCTTTGTGGTAGTGACACTGACTGACAGAAAGACAGGGCTATGAAGTAGGAAGGCAGATACGGAGAAGACCACTACCTTCTATTCTAATTCTCCTTATCCTGAATCATTTGAAATGTGATACTGGCATTCAGAGAATAGGGAACACTACAGAAAAGAGACTGTCACTGGAATAACACTGTATTATCTATAAATAGCACTCTTATTCACAAAGCTAACTGAAAGAACCTATCCAACTCCAAAAAATCTTAAATTTTGCTTCTTTTCATCAGTCATAACACACAACACTAAATATAAAAGCCATGGCCCAATCAATCAATCTCAGATCTATAAATTTTTACGGTTCACTTTCCAGATTCTACTCATAACAAATTTAAATTATCGTGAATACCACCTCATTAAACCAGAAACAAAAGAATTCAGTTACTCTGAAATTTTAATACATCTTAAGAGCGTTTAATACAAAATATTAAAATCAAAATCTAAGTTAACAAGGCTTTACACTTAACAGTAAAACAGCACTTGCTGAATATTTATCTCAACTTTTAAAGAGAAAGACACTAAAAAACAACCATGACAAGGAAATTGGTAAAGTCAACTTCTTAAATATAAAACCAGGCCGAAGAACATTTAAATCAGTTTAAAAATTAAACTTTAGAAAAAAAAGGTAAAATCTTTATAAAAGCCCCGATAAAACCCTTCTGCCCTTTTAAATTAGAATACAAATTTCAGAAGCTTACAAAATGTCAACAGCAGAAAACATTTAATTCACATGTAGATTACATTCTGGTTGAAATTTTTCCTCTGTCCGTTTAGTTTTATTTCAGGTCATCTTTTCCAAGAAATTTAGTTTTTAAATGTTGTTTTTAAACAATGGAAAGTCCTTTATAGAATTTCTAGAAGATAAACCCATATTAGAGGGGGAAAACTACTGAACCTCAAAGCCTATAGCAAAATAAATAAAATGACTACAGGGCAAATGACAAATATTTAATATACACATACATATATTTCTTAGGGAAAAAAAACCTTCCATATAAAACTAACTGAATGAAACTGACTTTTTTAAGTGGCAATCAATATTCAAAAGGGTAAAAATACCATTTTAAAATTCAAGTTCCAAGTCAGTTTTTAAACTTAATAGCAACTACCAGTGGTTTAGTGACGATACTTGGTGGGGTGAGGTGGGGAACACTGAAAATACAATGTTGGACCGATTTATAATTACTCCACAACAGGACCTCTCCAAAAAGGACTACCCAGATAAGACAGAAAGGCCCTGATTCATCTCTCAGACTGCCTACAATTTTAGTCTGTAGTGAGCAGATCAGGAATTCTCTACATAAAATTCAGTGTTTTATTCTTTAACTTAATACACAGTAGCACCTACCAATGGGCAAAACTTTGTTCCATGTCTAAAAATAGTTAAAATGAGAAACTATTCAAAAGCACATTTTTACACCTAGAAAATAAAAATTTTGAACTCCCATCCCTTGTGACAAATATGAAATGGCCCAAAGCTACCACACATTGTTTGAATCATTAAAAAAAAAAAAATTTTTTTTAATCTCATTTCCCATGCAATTTTAAGAAATGTACTTTCCCCCAGAGATAGAAGGAATGTGGTTTCATGAGAATTACTAAATCTTGGAGAGAGTCCAAAAGATCTAAAATAATAAAACTGGATATAAACTGACAAATTTCTACTGACTAAACTGCAGATTAAAAAAATGAAAATAAATAAATAAAAGTTAAGATTTTACTCTGTTGTCTTCTAGGAAAAAGCCCTAGCAAGTTAACTAGAATGAATAAAAAATAAATTAATTAATACATATATCAGGAAGAAGTTAGCAAGTACTCAAGAAAAGCTATACAGGGTGTTAGTTTTTACAAAATTTTTTTGAACGCTCATTTATTTTTGAGAGACAGAGACACATAGTGTGAACAGGGGAGGGGTTAGAGAGAGAGGGAGACACAGAATCTGAAGCAGGCTCCAGACTCTGAGCTATAGCACAGAGCCCAATGGGGGCTTGAACTCACAAACCGCGAGATCATGACCTGAGCCGAAGCTGGATGCTTAACTGACTAAACCACCCAGGTGCCCGTGTGTTATGTTTTTGAGATTTTTTTTTTAGCCTTTTAAGTTGATGTATCAATTTTATACAATATGTAAACCTCAAAGAACACTATAGAAGAATATTAGAAATAAAAAAAAGAAACATTTGTCATTATAATCTGACAGTGCAAAAATGGTAAACTACATGATTCAGACTTGTTGCTCAACCACGATAGTGATAATGGGCATTATTAGCCTTTCTAGGAAAAAGATCGAGAAAGAAGCAGAAAAGGGAAGAGAAAGGTACTCTCATGAAGCAACTGGTTTATACGACTGTAACCTGGGTGTTAGATGATGTAATCCTATTTAGTCTGATGCTGTATAATATCCCAGTTCCTTCTGGTAGAGAGATAGTGGCTCTGATCATCAGGTGGCTGAGCTATACAGAGTCATCTATCTAAAGAAAAAGATTGAAGAAGAGTAATTACAAACATCTGCAGTTGACAGTGACATATATATCTACTCAGATGACAGAGGAAGTACAAACAATAAAAAAAGGAATACAAACTAGCCATATTAACAAAAATAATCAGATCAGATGAATATAAGACACTTACACCTTAACTCCTAATAAGTAGAAGAGTAGCACTGATGCTATGAAACTTAAACAATATGATTGTGATAGCTAAGGTGAAACACAAGCCAAAGAAATTTAGCGAAGAAATGGCACACTAAGAACTTTGGTACTTAACCTTTCTTGTAACCTTTTCTATCAGATTCATAGTAAAAACATCTTTGCATCTTTGAAGTTTCTTAAAATTTGTGTAAGCTAATTTTTATAGCTGTTTCCCCTTATTTGGTAGTTCAATTTGTGGTAGAGTGGTCAAAAGGAAGCTAAATTAGCCACATTGAAACATTAAACCATGATGGAAACACTGCTCCTTATGAACAGGTTAAAAAAAAAAAAAAAAAAGCCTACGCATGAAGGTTACTATTAACTTATCTAGGACTTACGTGTTTTTTATAAGCCATTTTTGTATAGAATTTGGGATTTTACAACTGATATATTTAAATGTACTCCACAGAGATATGGATAACTAAAATATATCCCCAAAGTTCAGTCATAATAAACAACAGCAGATTATCAGAAGTATCAAGGTACTGACCCATGTCCTGAAGGAGCAATGAAGTATAAACAACACTGCACCCTGTTATCAGGCATCTGACGTCTGTTCACTCGAGATTCTGCATTTAGGTAGTCCTCAAATTTACTATCAATGTAGTCAATAACAGGCTGCCAGCTATAAAAAGCAGATAAATAAAATAATTAAGTTGCAATTCTACATATGAATGTACAACTGAGGACTGCTACAGTAATCAGTATTTTTAAATAGGCAAAACCAATCAAACCAGTGGAAGATATCTCAAATTATTCTACATACACTGATTCAAAAACAAGTAGTTATCACCTTGGATAAATCTTGATTCATTATTTCTGAACTTTCCAAATGGAAAAAAATTAATTATTTAGCATCAAAACACAACCAAATTATGTTATCTGCATTAAGTACAGAGGTTTTTATTTCAAATTAAAAGATTAAGTTATACAAAAACTTCATGATGAACTTATTTGTTTTAAAAGTTAACAGAAATTTACTTCAAAAACAAAGAAAATATTGTTTATAATATACTATTTCTAAATAGAATGCCATGGATGTTTTCTTAACTTATGACTTATGGAGAAATGGAACATTTAAAATCAGATTTAAATTAGGATGGGATAGAAAATAATATATACAATAAGTGGATAAAATTATAGAAGAAAATGAAGTTTTAACTTCCTTATAATGAGAATTCTTGTACCCATGTTGCTTTAGAATTTGTCTTCAAAATAATTCTATGATAGGTATTACCTCCATTTTATAGAAAAGGAAATCAGTTCAAAGAAATTAAGTAACATTGTCAAGTAAGTGGCAAAGTTGGTTTAAGAACTCAAGTCATATCACTAGAAAGTTCAGTGACCTCTGCTAAGATGAGAAGTTTAAAAATCTTAAGCAGAAAAAGTCTAACCACCGATACCCAAAACGCAATCAATATAAAGCAGTGATGATAAACCCTTCTTACCAATTACTATTATCCACTGCATCTCCAAATCCTGGCGTATCAACTATTGTGAGCAGCAACTGAACACCACCTTCTTTGATTAAAACTTTGGACTGTTCCACCTGTAAGAATTATTGGCACAGATATTAATACCATATATTACACCTGTGGTTTCCTACAAGGTAAGAAGCAGGGAGATGAGCATTAATCAAAACCAGCTGGGAAATTTTCTGCAAACTAAATCTACCCACATTTTCTTTAAAATCAATTATTGTGAATATGAGAAATCCTGGTTACTTGAAAGAAAGGCACATATGTAAGTAGTGGGTTTATGGCTTATAGTTGACATAAAGAAAGAAAATGGGAACTGATAAAATAGTAATAGTCACTAAAGCCACACAATGCCTATATGATCTAATGTGTGTCTAACAACACAAATAAACAATATGCTTAAACGATTCAGTAATTCATAGAAATCAAATGCAATTAACCAAACAAGTACATCTAATCTACCATTTACAGTAAATGCTTTTCTGAACTATTTCCATCTAGTTTGGTCCAAACCAATTACTCAAGTGAACTTATTACATTCCCAAACCTTTCTCAGTATGGCCATAATTATTTACACTTGTGTTTATGTTATGGCTAAGATCCAACTCTCTTCTCAAATGTTATATTTCACATTTATACCAAAGTGATCAGCAAAGGTCCAGGCACTGAAAAAAAAAACAAAAAATCCTACCACCTCTGATTAAAATCTTTGGTTCTCTTTACAATTTGTAAGAATGTTCTATTTGAGAAAGGGTATTAGACTTGAACAATAACAACAATTCCTCCTACAATCTAAGATTTTCTGTAACCCCAAACTCTGCATCAGAACATGTAAGTCATTCATCTTGGGCATATGCTGCTGCTAGATAAAGTAAACATGGAGTTAAACAGAAAAGGGGAATAATGACCCCAGAAAAACACAGGCTTTCATCTGATGCATACTTTTATTATTTTTTTAAATTTAATTTTATTTATCTTTTTAGAGAGAGAGAGCATGCACATACACAAGTGGGGGAGAGGGGGAGCGAAGGGGGGAGAGAGAGAGAGAGAAAGAGAGAGACAGAGAAAGAGAGAATCTTAAGCAGGTTCCAAGCTCAGCACAGAGACCAACATAGAGCTCGATCCCACAGCCCTGAGATGATGAACTGAGCCAAAATCAAGAGTCAGATGCTCAACTGACTGAGCCACCCAGGCACCCCTCAATGTACATTTACATCAAGGGCTTACTAGGACTAGAGGCTCTAGGTACGTTGGTAGGCTAATTTAAGAGGGAAGAATTAGATTCAAACTTTAAATATTAATTGCCATAAGACGGTATGAATTAAGTACTTCTAGACTTAAGGAAAAAATGTAATCATCAATATGTGAAAAGCAACTTCAACTATTTATGTCTGCTAACAGAGTATGGAAAGGAAAATTTCTAATTTCTAGGTAGAAAAAGTTGGGTGTACCTTTCAGGCTTACAGAAATGATGTCTTTCCATTCCCTTTTGACATGTTCTTACAGAGGCTGGCTGAGGTATGAAGAGACCAAGGAACTGAGACTAAGACTACTGAGTAGGAAAGTCTGTAGCAGCACTGTCCAATAGAACCTTCTGAGATGATGCAAATGTTCTGTACCCTCACTGTCCAATACATTAGATGCTTGCCCATGTGGCTACTTAGCCCTTGAAACGTGACTAGAGCAACTGAGGAGCTGAATGTTTATTTAATTTGAATTAGCTTAAATAGCCACACGTAGCTTAGTGACACTGGATTGGACAGTGCAGGTCGATAGCAATCAAGTTATTTTGTTAAAAAAAAATCATGTAAAAAAAACTGTTAACACTGAAAACACTGCCTGAGATTTGGATATGCATGTCTATGGAGGGACTTCTAATCTTTTAGACAAATAAGAGGCAAAGGTCTTATCTTTTATACCAATGCTCTTTACTAAACTGCTTTAATCCTTGTAGAACTATTGGTGAAAATTTTGAACATCCCAAATGTATTTATTTGTCTACCAAATATATACAATTGGAAATCTGTTAATAAGTATTAACAGTATTAATTCTCTCTAGATTAAAAAAGTAAACATCAATAAATAGGGTTCTTAATGCTTTCTGACCATTTTCAGTACCAATAATGGATGTGCATTGCATAGGAGACCACTGTTTCATACCACATAGCTAAGATAATACCAGTAGTCTGATACCAGGTTACTCTTATGAGGAAGGCAAAATGAGGAAATAATCAGACTCATCAGTGTTAGATTATAAAAACTAAAAAAAAAAAAAAAAAAAAAAAAAAAAAGATGTGTTATGTGGCTTACAAAGTTCATATCTTATAAAAATAAAAAATGGTTGTCCTCTAGTTAAAGGACAATCTAGTTATTTGTCATTATAGAATTTTTTTTTTAAAGGACAATCTGGTCAAATGCAACATCTTGATATATCTTGAATTGGCTTCCCTCTCCGTCATAAAAATAGGCTATTCATTAATGGTCACTGAAGCAGAACTACCCAAAGTAATCATACTACCCTTTACTTAATGATTCTTTTAAATGACATAGTACTATATATTAGAAATTGATGCAGGATATAATTGTTCTACATGAATCATCTCCCCAATTTTACCCCAAACAACTTTTGGTTCCCTTGTTACTAAGCAAAGGCCATTTCTATCTTCAGTAATAGGTTGTATACTAATCACACACCATACCAGCTTATATTTTAAGACCGTTGTTTCCTTTTTATTTTTATAATCAGTTTAACAACTTAATTGTTTATGGACGTAAGAAAAATTAAGATCTGTACTTTAAGGAGTCTGTTTATAAAAGCCACTTTTCTGGCCTATGAAATTCTTTGTATCCATACATGGTCAAATACAAAGAAGGCAACATATGGAAGAGATCCAGAAAACATAACTGTAAACTAGTGCCATTCACAGGATCTGACTGTATCCTATCATCTGGTTTTGCAAGTATCCTCATGGGATCCATGGAAAACAAATTAGTTCAAGTTCAGGAATTTCAAACTTTTCTTAAGAAATCTATTCCAAATGGCCATTTTCCCATGCACTTTACTTAAGCAGGTCACATAAGCATATTTTATGGCATCACTCAAAAGTTCTCTAACATTAAATGCATAATTTAATGCTGAAGGAATGAATCAAGGGCATTTTCAATTATGTTTCTTTCTGAAAAATAAAACTAAAGCCCATTATGTTGTTTATGTATAATTAATTTACTGAGGCCTCTTTTGGACTCCTAACTCCCAGAAATGTAAGGCACTCTTTTTTTCTAATACTGTTCAGTTTTCCAATCTGAGGGGAAAAAAACAACAACGACAAACTCAAACCTTCAGTGTTTCCATAGCTTCATTTCTTTCATTTTTAAAAGACTGTTAAATAACTGAAGTTTTCTAACCAATGTTTAAGAGCTATTTGTTAAGGTAAATAAAAAGTGTTACTCAATTAACTGTATTAAATTTCAAGGAGAGGGTTAAAATTTTGTCAGGAGTTACCTCTATACCTAAACTTGCTCAGGAGGTGGCATTACAGCCAAAGCTCTGCAGAGATGTGGAACAAGAGACTTAAACAGCCTGAGATACTCCACTTACTCAAACACAAACACTACCTACTCTATTGAATGGCTGAGAAGATAAGTATCATCTTAGATACTTCATTATGTTCCACAAGAAACTAAGAGGCAATGACCAATAGTAGAATAGTTATGCCTAAAGACTACTTCTCATCAAGACCCAAACCTAGTTTATTAATAAAGTTGATCCAAAGATTCGAATTCTGCCTGCTACACTAAATCACTACACCTCAATCCCCTGCACCTCCTTAAATTGAGATCTTAAATGTCTTGTCCTTTTCATTTTCTATTAGCAAACCCCCTCCTAAACCCTTTATTTCTTTTTCTTTTCCAGGCCAGATATCTTTGTTACACAAAATTTATGAACTTCAATTTGACAGGAATTTCCCTGCTATCCAATGATGCTTTTATGTGCTCACTAGTCCCATGCCTCTTTCATTTCCCAGAATGGCTCTTCTCTAGCTCTATGTTACTATCTCTCCAACCACGCTCAGCAAAGTACCTCATCTGTAGATGAAGACAAGAGCATCCTCAATTTGTTTGATGCAACAGTCTTTCCTTCTGTTCCGATGAACAGATCCCTTTCTTCCTGAGGCTTACTTCTCAATATATACCAGGGATGTGATCACTCCATTTCAGAGTCATGTTGACAACCATTTAGACTATTTCCAGTTTATTTTCAACCTCTCATCTCTTAGGGATTGATTCTCCATTGGATATAAACATTCTCAGGTCTTTTTTGGAAATAAAAACCAAACAACTCTATCAGTACCCTACACTCAACCTCCAGGTATTCCCTCTTGTCCTTTTCTTCACAGCCATCCCATCTTCACGACCTCATTTACTATCCCTTTTCAATCCACTGCCATCTTGCCCTCCATTCCTACTACTTCACTAAAATCTACCTTGCCAAGGTAACCTCTATAACACATTACAGCAGCAATAGTCTCACTAAATCATGTGACTGCGAGATCGTTAAGAAATTTGATCGTGTCCATCATCACTGTAGCCCCCAAACTGGAGTAAGATATTCAAATGTCTGTCCCGTGAATACTTTAAAAAACTATCAATATTGGACCAACACCAACAAGAGAGTTTCCTAATTGGGCTTTATAAAAATGTCTCAAGGAGTCTATAAAATGTTATCCTAGGGATAGGATAGGATTCATTGCTTTCACCTGTTTTCACCTCTAAAATTTTTGTAGCCATTTAATTTGCAATAGTGATTTTTAGGACTTTCCAAACCAAGAAAAACAAGGGTTTTTTAAGTTTATTTGAGAGACAGTGTATGCACACACACTTGAGTGGGTTGAGGGGAGAGAGACAGAATGAGAATTAATTAATCCCAACCAGGCTCCACACTGTCAGCACAAAGCCCATGGGGCTTGATCTCACAAATCGCAAGATCAGGACCTGAGCTGAAATTAAGAGTCAGATGCTTAACTGACTGAGCCACCCAGGCACCCCAAGAAAAAAGTTTTAATTTTCTTAA